CATTCACATAAAAACGTAGTTCACACCTGAATAAATGAGTTCACATTTCACATAAAAACGTGTTCACACCTGAATAAATAAGTTCGTATTTCACATAAAAACGTGTTTACTCCTGAATAAATAAGTTCACATTTCACATAAAAACGTGTTCACACCCTTAATAAATAAGTTCACATTTCACATAAAAACGTGTTCACATTTGAATAAATAAGTTCACATTGCACATAAAAACGTGTTTACAACTGAATAAATAAGTTCACATTTCACATAAAAACGTGTTTACAACTGAATAAATAAGTTCACATTTCACATAAAAACGCGTTCACACCTGAATAAATAAGTTCACATTTCACATAAAAACGTGTTTGCAACTGAATAAATAAGTTCACATTTCACATAAAAACGTGTTTACACCTGAATAAATAAGTTCACATTTCACATAAAAACATATTCACACCTGAATAAATGAGTTCATATTTCACATAAAAACGTGTTCTCACCTGGATAATAAAAACTTTCTTAAAACAAAATATTTTTCTTGTATCACAACAGACATCTACTTTAAGAACTCCAGTACTATGTATGTATATATATATATATATAATTCAAAAGCGACAAAGGACCTGTTGGTCTATCTAAGCCGTCTCATCCACTATATTAAACTCTAAAATAAAAATAAAACTTCCAAAGCCATTCTTTATTATTCAAATATTTATGAAGCCTTCCAATGAACTCACTTAAATAAACTGCATATACCACATGTGAAGGTAACCCATTCCAAAAAAAACATGCACCGTGTTAGAAAAATAAAACTGTCTTAGCTGAAGACGTACTTCCATAATGTCACTGTTGGTTCTGCTTTCATGAGGTTCGTTGTATTCAGTGTACTTCAACAGTATCTTATCCATGTCTGTGCTTGCGTACTGAAACAGTTTGTTGGTGGTGTTAAAAATGATTAGCGCAATCTCGCAGTTGCACAAGACGCTGAGTTCGTAAGCCTTCTTCATGAGCCCGAACTTTCGCTTTTAAAAGTCACCTGTTCAAGTGAAAAAACGAAAACACAGTCCAGTTTATGCTTTATGTAAATAACGTTAAGTATTGAATTACTACATTAATTAATAGAGAAATCGGCTTCTAATTAATATAACTTTTATTAAACGTAAACACATCAAAGAAACATAATGAAAATGTACACTATACTAGTATTATCATATAATATATATCATTAACTTAATTACATCATTACCAAGCATTATTATATCAAAATCTTATGTAATTAAATAATATTATATTGTTTTTTATATTATATCCAAAAGATAAGCATCTAATTTGTTTAGTTAAACCGTTAAAAATATTGTTCTCGATAATTCGATGACGAGGAACCCACTTTGAGATTAATAATGGCTGGAGACGGCTTAAACGGGTAATGAAGA